CGGCTAATCTCTGAAATGGCTGGGCCGAGTGTGCCGGGACATTTTTTGGCAAATAGCTGATGTAATAAGGAGTAACTTAGGCTACTTTCATTTTATAAAAATAAAGTTAAATTCCACGCGGACGAAGTCGCGGGAACAGCTAGTTTGGAATATATAAGCGGATAACATCTCAAGGGCACTTATGCAACAAATATAATTTAATAGGTACAGGTATTAGTACAGATTTGCCTCATTAGCATTCGGCCTTTCAACTCGTGCAAATTTCACTCCCTTTTGAAATTGAGCCCGCCATTTTGTCATAAGTATTTCTTTGTCTCGCTGGTAACGACCTTTACTTTTACAATAACATTGTAACTACAGACATATATATTACTAGCTGTCCCGGCAAACGTTGTTTTGTCTTAAAATAAAAAAAAAATTTTGGGATGGACTACCCCTAACATTTAGGGGGATGAAAAATAGATGTTGGCCGATTCTCAGACCTACTCGATACGCTCATAAAATTTCATGAGAATCGGTCAAGCCGTTTCGGAGGAGTATGGGAACGAAAACTGACCTTTACGCTCATTTTATCATTCTCCACTAATGCCCCAAAAGCGTAAACCGTTATTGTAATTCCATTATCATATATTATTGACCACCTCGGTGGTCCAGCGGTCTAGTACACCGCTTTACGACCGATGGTCGCGGGTTCGATTCCTCGCACGGCACAAACATTTGTATTCATGAGTATGATTGTTTGTATCAGTCTGGGTGTTTTCTATATATAATATGTATGTATTTACAAAAAAAAATATCTATGTATCAGTTATCTAGTACCCATAACACAAGCTTTAGCTAGCTTAACTTGGGTCTAGATGGCGCTGTGTGAATTGTCCTAAGATTATTATTATTATTATTATTATTATATCAGCGCCATCTAGTTTCAAGGTGAGCAGAACTTGTGTTATGGATACTTGACAACTGATACAGATCTATACATCTATACATATAGTAGTATATTATGCGTAGTCTACACATATAAATAAAATTGGAGTGTCTGTTTGTAATATTGAAATAATCGTTTTTTACTACATGCATATGAATATAAATATAAATATGGTACATACACCAAAATAACATTATTTACAATTTTTGTCTGTCTGTTTGTTTCGGCTAATCTCTGAAATGGCTAGACCGTTTTTGACGGGACTTTTATTGGCAGGTAGTTGAAGTGATAAGGAGTAAGGCTATTTTAAAAAAATAAAGTTAAAATCCACGCAGATGTTTTGAAAGGAACAGCTAGTCATCAATAAAAAAAATCAACCACAAGAAATTTTATCAATGCAGACGTTTTAAGAGGAGCCCATTAGAATCAAACTTTCTATTCTTTAATATTTCATCTCATATTTCATAAGCAAAGTCTTTTAATAATACCCACCGTTTTCCTTCCTAATTCCGTAAGTTTATGAGGCGAAAATTTTCAGATAACTTACAGTGATATCTCAATTTTTGTGAATTTTAACAGAACAATATCTTGTTTTATGGCTGCTTGTTAAATACAGAGATACCTAATTTATACTTATATAATAATAAGTAGCTGTCCCGGCAAACGTTGTTTTGCCTTAAAATAAAAAAAAAATAGGGGTGGACTACCCCAAACATTTAGGGGGATGAAAAATAGATGTTGACCGATTCTCAGACCTACTCAATACGCTCACAAAATTTCATGAGAATCGGTCAAGCCGTTTCGGATGAGTATGGGAACGAAAACTGTGACACGAGAATTTTATATATAAGATAATAATAAGTTACCATCTCCTTTCCTTAAGATGAGAATGTTTTTCTTAAGTTTAAAAAATAATAAATATAACAGATGCATCAATAAATACCCTGACTTGCCTCCTAGTATATACTGCCAACTACAGAAGGCTGTAATTCAAAACACATGCCGCATTGTCAGAAAATTTTTACAAACCGATTATACCGATATTTATAGTACATAATTATAATAATCTCAAAATATAACATTACTATGTACTTGGCTTAGGCCCGTACATACCAAAATTACCGGTGAAAACCGAGAAAAAAATTAATAAAAAAAAAGAAAAATTAATAATAATAATTGAATGTATTACACCTGTAAAAAGGGAGATATATAATAATAATAATAATAATAATTCTTAAACATCTGTCGTACTGTCCGAAAAATTTCTCGAAATAGATGAAAAGAATATAAGACCAGTCAAGCAATAAGTACACACACACACACACACACACACACACATTCGAGTACAATTAACACACAGAGAGAGACAGACGTTTGACATATTTGAGACAAGATACTGACATTGACAGATTACATGAAATAACAACACACTAGTGAAGACAATAGCTGTATGGGCTGAGTCCTTTTGCTTTTCCCTGAGAAGGGAAAAACCGACCCAAAAAAAAAATAGAGCGTGATTTAATACTCTCTCAGTGGCATATACATACGAATCAATTGATAGAATCATGATGATTACTATACATATATGACAGCCTCGGTGATCTATTGGTTTAGCACACCGCTTTACTATCCGATGATCGTGGGTTCGATTCCTCGCACGGTACAAACCTTTGTATTCATGAGTATGATTGTTTGTATCGGTCTGGGTATTTTAAAAAAAGATTATTAAAAAGAGCAACAAACAAGTTTCTTGCTCGTTCTTGTGATGAATCTGCATTCCGAATGAGTGGTAGAATCAAAATATGACTATTCAAACGTGCTTGTAATGAGTTTATTTGAATAAAGATTATTTCTATTTCTATTTCTCTGTATAATATGTATTTATTTACAAACAAAAAGTATCCATGTATTTATATCAGTTGTCTAGTACCCATAACACAAGCTCTGCTTAGCTTGGGACAAGATGGCGTTGTATGAATTTTCCTGAGATATTATTATTATTATATAAAAGAATCCTTGAAAAAGATTTCTGTTCAGTCCTAATGAATTTCAATAATATACAATGAAGGAGATATTCGTACTTGCAATTGCTTTAAATTAAATTCTCAAACGTCTGCCATCCCCATTTTCTTTGTGACCAGATTGGCTTGATAGACAATTACGCGTGAAATTATTTGATTGATATTGAACGACTTTTCACCGAGACGAGTAGAGCCTGAATACTTGAGAATATTCATTTTTTTTCACAAAGACCGAAATACATTCATTTTAACAAATGACTCGACAGACTGTCGAGTCATTCTTTGCTTTATTGCTTTTTTTGGGAACAGAAATTAATGAGCAATGAATTATTGTCTAAGTCGTTTCTTAATAATATGACTTATGATAATCATGAAGACGTCAGCCTCAGCAGGGAAATAATGATCATCACAGTTCGGTAACTGCATATCTTTTTTGTGTACTTATTTTTTTATTACTGGACACATACCTTTTTTTATGTACTTATTTTTTTTATTCCTGGACACATACCTTTTTTATGTACTTCTTTTTTTATACCTGGACACATGCATTTTTTGTGTACTTATATTTTTATTCCTGGACGCATACCTTTTTTTATGTACTTATTTTTTTATTCCTGGACATATACCTTTTTTATGTACTTATTTTTTTATTACTGGACACATACCTTTTTTATGTACTTATTTGTTTTAACCTGGACACATAAATTTTTTGTGTACTTATATTTTTATTCTTGGACACTTATCTTTTTTTATGTACTTCTCTTTTTATTCCTGGACAATTCAATTATTAGTGGTTATTATCAGTTTTCAATGGACTAAACTATTCTCGGAAGTGGATAAAAAAATTAAACAATAAGACGTATCATACATATTTATTTTATGTAGATATAAAACTTACTACATACATAGTTTTAGTTTAATAAATGGAATACATATTTTTTATAATTACTATATATTCAAAAACTAGATACTATATTAGATTATCTGAAGACCTTCTGTGGTCAAGCGATTTAGAACACTGTCTTACCACCAAAAATCGCAGGTTTGATTCTCGTTCATATATGTTTTTATATATTACTTAATTACTTAATGGAGATTCTGAACGAAGAACTGTATATATATGGGGCTGGTAGATATAATTATGAAAATACGGGTTTTAAGAAGCAATAATATAATGTTATGTACAAAAGTATAATAGTTACAGAACAAGAATGACAATGATATACATATTCTATATAAAAATAATAGGTAAAAAACAGAAATAATATCTAAAGAGGTGGGTCATGCACAGAGATTATTTTGTTTAATTCCGCTTCTATTAGCATGTGTGAGACAACGAATGACGGCATGCAACTGAAAAGCGAATGTTGATAGATGTGTGGTGTGACAAGAATGGATAAAATAAAGAATTAATACATTAGAGGAAGTATGAAAGTGGCGCCGGTGTCGGAGAGGTTGAAGAATCATCTGTCGTGGAATGAGACTCTAATGCGTAGGAATGAAGATAATATTTTAAGGAAGGTGTTACATATGAATGTAGATGGTTATAAGGGCAGAGGAAGGCCGAAAAAGAAATGGATGGATTGTGCGAAAGATGATATGGTAAGAAACGGAGTAAATAAAATTGGCTGAAACTTTGCATACATAAAGCTACTATGACGTAGGCATCCCCTAAGATAGGATTTTGATAAGTTCCATCCCTAAGGCGATAAATTAACACAGGCAAAAGCTAGTTATAAATATAAACCTTCCTCTTGAATCACTATCTATTAAAAAAAAACGCTTCAAAATCCGTTGCGTAGTTTTAAAGATTTAGGCATACATAGGGACGGACAGACAGCGACAGCGACTTTGTTTTATACTATGTAATGATGACTATTTGTATACGATTAGATATTTTATATGTATATTATGTATATATTTACAAAACGATACTCAAGTGTTTCAATCTTTTCTTATATGAGTACAAATCTGTAGGACTTATTGAACGAATTTCTTTCATTTACGTCAATTCTTTTATACACTGCAGCGTGTCTTCTAGAAGAATTGAATCACAGAGGTAACGCCGTGATGTACCGTATCCACTCCCTCATAATCGGGATGTTGGTGTACACTCCTGGTTGATCAGGGACAGCACAGCCCACTCCAAATGACACTAGCCCAACTAACTTGCCATTGATAACTGCTGGTCCACCAGAATCACCCTGATGGAGAAACCATTAATTATTTAAACGTTGATGTAATTTTGACTATAATGAATTAGTGCTAGTTGGTAGTTTGTATTCACATTTCTACTTAAAAATATAAAGTAACAACAATTATTTATAAGAGCAACACGCATATTTCCTGCTTGTTCTTATGATGATACAGCTTTCCGAATGAGTGGTAGAATAAAAACGTGATTTTTCAAAAGTGCTTACATTCAGTTAACTTGATAAAGAATATTTACATTTCTATTGGAATGCCGATCAATTTGACTGACCACTTGATATTCATGGCCTCGGTGGTCTAGCGGTTGAGCACACGGCCTTACTTCCGATGGTCGCGGGTTCAGTTCCTCGCACGGCACAAACATTTGTATTCATGAGAATGATTGTTTGTATCAGTCTAGGGGTTTTTAAGTATATATTTACGAACATAAATATATATCTATGTATTTGTATCAATTATCTAGTACCCATTACACAAGCTTTAGCTAGCTTAACTTGGGTATAGATAGTGCTGTGTGAATTGAAGAAGATTATACTAGCTGTACCCGCGACTACGTCCGCGTGGAATTTAACTTTAATTTTCTAAAATAAAAGACATTTTCTAAAATAACAGTAGTCTAAGTTACTCCTTATTACATCATCTGCCAATAAAAGTCCCATCAAAATCGGTCCAGCCGTTTCAGAGATTAGCCGGAATAAACAGACAGACGAAAATTGCAATAAAATGTTTTTTTTGTGTATGTACTGTATTTATATTCATATGCATGTAGTAAAAAACGGTTATTTCAATATTACAAACAGACAATCCAATTTTATTTATATGTATAGATTAAAGTTTCACTTCGAAAAGAATATATTTGTCTACCTGACAAGAGTCCTTAGTGCCATTCGGGAAGCCAGCACAGAACATTCTAGGCGATATAGTGCGATAGTTCTGATTGGGCTGCGATTGGCATACCTCAAACGAAATAACTGGCACAAACACTCGACGTAACACGTCTTCCATTCTTCCTTGCTGAAATAATAATAATAATCACTCATTATTAATATAATCAGATAATATTGTCAGTGCTGTGGATTTTAAGTGTTTCTATAAAAACATTATTATCGTTAACGAATTCTTCAATTTTACAGTAAGCTCTTTTGCAAAGGAAGTGTTTTATATGACATTTAAATCTTTTTTCAGGCAGATTTATAACAGACTCTGTACTATGTATTTTGTTGTAAAACCTTACGCAATTGCCATAAAACGAATTACTAGCTTTAGTTAAACGACATTTAGGTAAAATCAGATTGTTATTGTTACGTAAGCTTTTATTAGTGTAATCACTAACTCTTTTGAAACTGTCTATATTCTTCCTGGCATACATGATATTTTCATAAATATATTGAGAAGCAACGGTGAGGATATTTGATTCCTTAAAGCACTCTCGCAAAGACTCCCTGGAACCCATGCTATAAATGGAGCGAATGGCCCTCTTTTGTAAAATAAATATTGTATTTATATCAGCTGCTTTGCCCCATAACTTACTTACGTACTTAATTATACTTAAAAATAATAATAATAATATATGAGGTATGTTGCCATCTCCTCTCCTTAAGATGGGAGATGAGAATATTTGGAAAATAAAAAATTCTTTTATAATTGTCATTGTTTGGTGATATTCACCCGTAATGACAAGTTTAACACTTCATCAAAGGGAGATATATAATATATATATAAAAAAACAATAATAATAATCTCAGGACAATTCACACAGCGCCATCTAGACCTAAGTTAAGCCAGCTAAAGCTTGTGTTATGGGTACTAGATAACTGATACAAATACTATATATATAATATTATACATAGAAAATACCCAGACAAGTACAAACAATCATACTCATGTATGCAAATTTTTGACGTGCGAGGAATCGAACCCGCGACCATCGTACGTAAAGCGGTGTGCTAGACCGCTAGATCACCGAGGTCGTCAAATACTTACTTTATATCTTGTATGACCCCATCCGCTTACTGAAACCATAGCTCCGGAAACTATATCCTCAATCGACCCAATCGCAATTGGTCTCGACTTGGATGTGACCGGAATTGGAGTCTCAAGTAACAGCAATTGATAGTCGAAGTCATGGAAATGCACTTTTTCAGTGCTATTCCATAATGGATGTATGAAGTGAGCGCAAATCTTGAACGGGAGAGTTTGACTGCGGTACGTCGATCCTGCGTATACATAATTCTCTGTGCTTCTGTAACAGTTACAATAGTTTTTATGAGATGGAATGGTATGATTTTGAAGGCCGTCATACTCGTGAACGGGTGCTGCTTGTCCCCACGAGCACTGGTCTGTTCAATTTACGAACACAGTAGAGTTTTTACTTTTGCAATAGCATATGCTGGTGGTCACTCTATTCTCCCAAATTTGATGCGTATACATAATTCTCTGTGCTTCTGTAACAGTTACAATAGTTTTTATGAGATGGAATGGTATGATTTTAGTAGTCGTCATACTCGTCATATATCTATTGCTGAAAACTGTATTGAAATTCGTTGCGTAGTTTAAAAGATATAAACGAAAAGACAGATAAATAAAAAACCCCTGGACAATTAACAGCGCCATCTAGTCCCACGGTAAGTAGAGCTTGTGTTATGGGTACTAGACAACTGTTATAAATACGTAGATATTTTTTTGTAAATAAGGACATAATATAAATAGAAAACACCCAGACCGATACAAACAATCATACTCATGAATACAATTAGAAATAGAAATAGAAATAGAAAATAGAAATAATCTTTATTCAAATAAACTCATTACAAGCACTTTTGAATAGTCATATTCAAAAGTGATTCTACCACTCATTTGGAATGCAGATTCATCACAAAAAGGTTGAGCAAGAAACTTGTATGTTGATGTATATATATACAGATAGAGAAATATCACTGTCACCTGCAATGTGCTGCAGTGATGACCCACTCCGGGGCTATGAGGGTCCCTCCACAGTACCTCCCGTACATCACCTGGTATGGAATATCCGTGATGGAGATCTGCCTGCCACCTACGATGCGCCATTTTAACTGTAACATAGAGGGGGGAAAAGGATCGTCAATAATGTGACCCATTGCTAGCAATGTACCATGTCGGATCGACCTCCACGCGGTTCCCCCTGGAAACCATCGTGATACATTCCCGATTGAATTTATCACGTTGGGCTAATTGATCTGACTTCATGTTCATTCTATCATCCTCCACTGGTGCCCCGCCAGCGTAAACCGTTAGCGCAGGCGGGTGCACCATTCCATTATCATCCACAAAAAAAAAACACTGTACATAATATACAGCTTGTTAAACATAAATATTTGTTCCCACTCTTCCTGTTGAGGAGCAGGACCTTCGCAACTTATTTTTTTTAATAATAATATCCAGCTTCTCAACCTATCCTCGGAAATACATCCTTTCGCTAGATCTCATTGTACAACTATCCAAAGCAATTTAAAACAAATAAAAAAAATTGAACTGTCCGTTTACAATTTCAAATTAACAGCTTTTTACTAAATGCATATGAAACTATATAAGCTAATCACATTAAAAAATAATATAAAAAAAAAACTTTTAGTCGATATGTCTGTTTGTACTTGGTAATCACTGAAACAGTGGGATCGATTTTGAAACGACTTTCACTCGCAGATAACTAATATTATAAATTAAATCAAAAATCATTTATTCGTATTTTTTTGGCTGTTTATGAAAGTCAAGTTTTTGTATTAATAATTTTCCTACTATCCAGTTTAATATAGATTCAATTGAGAAGAACTGGCAAGAAACTCAACAGATTTTTTTAAAAGCCAGTATATTTACATTGTGCACTGTTAGCGGTATGATTATAGGGGCTTTATTTATATGTCAGTTTTGTTGAATAAAAGTAATTTACAGACAGATAAAAGTAATGAAGAACAGTATAAAAAAAATTGTGATCAGAAGTACAATAGTTTAGAAGAATCTCTAGAAATCTTTAGAAAAATCTTCAGAAGAAGCCATTTTGTAGTTAGTGTCCCGCGCAAACGCAACGCGCCACAGATAACACAATATGCAAGGCGCACAGCCGCAGTAGGATGACGAGCGCGTCATGGCTGTATGAGCGATGTTAATAGTATGAGTATTAGCACTGCCTTAAAGGTAATACATTCAAAATTTGAATGTCACATTTATTTATGTATATGACATTCAAAGTTTGTAAAAAATATAAGTTTATATAAGTATTTTATTGTAATAAAAGTAATTTACAGACAGATAAAGTAATGTATAATAAAAGAGTATAAAAAAATTAGTGATCAGAAGTACAATAGTGTAGAAGAAAATCTGCAGAAGAAGCCATTTTGTAGTTAGTTTCCCGCGCAAACGCAACGCGCCACAGATGCACAATATGCAAGGCGCACAGCCGCAGTAGGATGACGAGCGCGTCATGGCTGTATGTGTCGTCTATGTCCAAGGGCGGATCCAGGTTTGGCGCCAGGAGGGGGTCACATAGTCGTGGTCAAGTCAAGAACTTATAATTTAATTTTGACAACAATAGACACAAGTAAAAAGTAGGTATTTTAATAATGTACAAAGTTATTATATTAATTAAATATTGAAGGTATGTAGTTACATAAAATCTGTATGGTGTCAAAATATATAAAACAAATCATTGTTTAATTAGTGGTCCACCTAAGTCCTGGAACCAGCTCAGGGGGGGAGGGGGTTATGACCCCCATGACCCCCCTGGATCCCCCGTTGTCTATGTCTAACATTAAAGGGAAATCCTGCGCATGAACATTGCCCTGTCAGTTTTTCATTTCAATATTCGTGTAGTTAGACCCAAGTTAAGCTAACTAAAGCATATGTTATAGGTACTAGATAACTGATACAAATACATACATTTTTTTTCGTAAATACTTACAGATTATACATAGAAAACACCCAGACCGTTACAAACAATCATACTCATGAATACAAATGTTTGTGCCGTGCGAGGAATCGAACCTGCGACCTTCGGACGTAAAGCGGTGTGCTAGACCGCTAGACCGCCGAGGTCGTCGTGGTGTTGCTCATTAAATATGATTTAACAGATATTTTAATTTATTTAAAGGTAATTCTAGCAAATCTTATTGTATTTTTTTCTAGGCTAACTCAGACCTCACGCTCATCTGATCATCCTCCACTGGTGCCCCGCCAGCGTATACGGTTAGCGCAGGAGGGTGCACTGCATTATCATCCATTAAAAAAAATACCTTGACATTCCTTGTAGTCTCCATATTCTCTTCATAAAAATGGACTGGGTCTGAACTCCTGGTTTCATGGAAGTATTGGTAGTTTCTTGGTGGTACCCTTCTGGTGATGAACATCCGATGGTAGCTGGTGACACAACCAGGGGTCAAGAGACCTGTATAATTACCTAGTTAACAAAATAATAAATAAATAAATAACCCTGAACAATTAACACAGCGCCATCTAGTCCCACGGTAAGCAGAGCTTGTGTTATGGGTACTAGACAACTGATACTTAGATACATATTTTTTTGTAAATACATATATATTATACGTAGAAAACACCCAAACCGATACAAATAATCATGAATACAAATGTTTACTGTGCGAGGAATCGAACCCGCGACCATCAAAAAAAAGCGGTGTCCTACACCGCTAAACCACTGAGGCCGTCATGAAATTAACTGAAATGATTTTTTTTTTATAACAGAGGGGTCAAACGTGCATGCGGCTCTCCTGATGATAAATGATTACCGCTGCCCATGAGCATCCGCAACACCAAGAGGAATAGCAAGTACGTTGTCGGCCTTTTAAAAAAGAATAAGCTCTTTTCTTGAAGGTTTCAATATCGTATCGGTTCGGAAATACCATTGCTGGAAGGTGATTCCACAATGTATGTAGTTGTGCGTAGCAAGAAGTTTCTAGAAAACCGCACTGTAGAGGACCGCCATTCATCCAGATGATCAGGATGGTATTTCAGTTTCGGGCGGGTGGTACGGTGGCGAAACTTAGCAGCTGGTATTAATCCGAACAATTTCTCAGAACACTCCCCGTGATATATGCGGTAGAAAATGCATAGAGACGCAATATCTCGCCGCAGCCAATGGGTCGAGTCTGTCACATAGACAAAAGATTCAACAACAATGATTCATTTCATTAAAATCATTACAACTAATTATTGCACTTTATCTTTAAAAATGCTTATTATGAAATAGAAGAGTTTGTAAATGATAATCAAGATAAGAGAGTGACATCGAGCAATCAGCTTGGCGTTTGAAATATGTAAGATTGAGGTACCCACGCAGGCTAGTCTTTACAGTCCACTTCATTCTCATGAAATATATTCGCCACTCAATGAATTTATATTATTTTGTTTAATTCCGCAACCATTGTCGTGTTTTGAGTAGTCATGCTCACTAAAATGTCCAGACTTGTGGCGGCGTGGTGGGCCTGGTCATTGGGCTCCCTAAAATATGGTCAAGCGCAGTGATGGCTGGCTCATCCGTCGTACTCGTGAACGAGTGCTGCTTGTAGGGACTGGTCTGCTCTAATCACTATGACTGATTTCCTCTTATTAATTGTTTAACCAGTTGGTTGTACTGCTAATATTTTTTCTATTTGATTATTTAATTGAATTAGTGCTAATTGGTAGTTTGTATTCACACACTTAAACTTAAAAATGTAAAGTAATTATAAAATTATTTAAAAGAGTAACACGCAAGTTTCTTGCTCGTTCTTCTTGTGATGAGACAGCTTTCCGAACGAGTGGTAGATTAAAAAAATGTAATGACTTTTCAAAAGTAAATATAATATAAAAAGTAATATAAGTAAGTTTATTTGAATAAAAGATTTTCTATTCTATTCATTAGCATGTGTAAGATCACAAATATTCAGTACGGAAACTTGACCACTGCTGTTAGAAACGTTGCGACCTTCTCTAGTGATGATCAAAATCCGGATTATTAGATCTACACCCATATTACACACATGTTTCATCTCTGTACGAGGTGCCATTAGATCTCGGATATAGCTTGCCTAGTGTTGACTGTTCGACGACTAGACTTCAGGCAGACTCAAGTAGTGAAATGGACTTGAGTAAAAATCTTAAAATGGCCTTCACTAAAAATCTATTTTTTACTGTTCGCTACTTAAGTATCTCTGAAGTCTGGTCGCTGAACATTCAACAGTAAGCTAGATTAGACCTGCCAATGAATAGGAATATAAGGCTAAATCTTTACTATAGACTACATTTAAAATTAACCTAAGTCTAAACTAAACTCAGTCTGAAGTCTGGTCTGAACATTCAACACTAAGCGATCTCGCTTAGTGTTGAATATGAAATATTAATGAATATATGTTGAATTGAATAAACTTGCCATTGATCAGAAATACTATTAAATAGTTATCCATCAATATCAATTGAAGTTAGAAAACCCGATGACCCTAAACCTAAAACAGTAAAAACTTTTCATTCCAAATTTAGGAGACATGGATTGGAAGAAGAGGTTAAACCTCCTCCATCACGCGCAGCCCTATTAAATAAAAAGGTCACACCTGTTCTACCACCCACAATACAAATACGTAAAAGACCATCACCTGTACATAATGAAAATCCACCAGAAAAGAAGCCTAAGACTGTCGAAACAATTGAATCGAAACCTGGTTCTATAAAACTATAAAGTTAGACTACAGAAGTAATTTTAAAGAAGAATTCTAACAATGTTAAAATGTTTTACGTACCATAAACAGAAGATGTAACAAAGACGAATAATGTAACAAAAATTGATGGCATCGTAAGTACAAGCATTGCGTTCAACTGCACGCATGTATTGCAACTAGTAGGTACAGTTCGGTGTCGCAATGTAAAGCGGAACGAATATCTTCACGCCTACTAACTGAAGAACTGATTGAAAATAAAATGTATTCTTAATGATTTCTATGAGTGTTGTTTTATGATATTACACTTGCATTCTCTAAATCTTTGTTCAAATGCCATAAGACATAAACATATAAACATCTTTCCAAGGACATGGGTAGTTAATAATACGACATTAATTTATGGAAAATTGTAAAAATTATCTCTTGCTTTTACCGGACTATTCATTTGTTGATGTTTTCTTTAGTATGTATGTATTTGTGTATAAATTTATATATTTATGTTTTTATATATTATGCATTATATATAAGTATGAATGTAGTTGGATATATGTGTTTACTTTATTTATTCCTACTTGTATTTATTTTCATGTTATTTTCTTAATAATGCACCGCCCACTAATCTCTGTTTACCTCATGGTCGACTGGTAGAAAATGCCTTATGGTGTTAAGTCCACCATTTGCACCATTTTTTTTGTATTTGTGCATTAAAGTTTTAATAAATAAATAAATAAATAAAATAAATTCATTTTTTTAATTGAATTCAATTTATTTCCATGCAACTGATGCTATGTTGGTGGTCACTTTATTCTCCCAAATTTGAATTTAAAAATGAATCTGTATTATTACAAACATATGTAACATTTATTTGAAAAGAATACGAGCTGAGTTTCTTGTCAGTTCTTCTCATCTCGGAATCATTCCGAACTGACGGTAGATTAGACATATAAGAGTCTGTAATAGACCTACATGAATGAAGATAATTTGAATTTTGGCAATTATGGGACACAAATGTCTTGATATTACAATGTTATTTTTTTTTTGATGACAATGGAATGATACACCCGATAGCGCTACAACAGTTTACGCTGGTGGGGCACCAGTGGAGGATGAACATGAAATCAGGTAAAGATATTTTGAATTTTTATTTGAACTCAAAGGTACTATCTTATCCATTCTTGTCACACATTAATTTGGAATGTGTGACAAGAATGGATAAGATAAAGAATGAATACATTAGACGAAGAGTGGAAGTGACGCTCTTTGACTGATTTTGAAGGGACTTTCACTCGCATATAGGTAATGTTATAATTAGACTAGACTTAGGTTAATTTTATTTTAGAAAATTTATTTATTTTAATAAAAGAGAGCTAATGTTACGAGATGTAACTTAGACTAGTTTTTGTTTTAGAAATAAAAAAAAACAGTTAAATAACACGTAGACGAAGTCGCTTGTAAGATGTAGTAAATGGGTAAGAAAAAAATATTTCATTTCACACAATAAAGAATGGCAAATATAGTAATAATACTATACAACTTGTTGAAAAATCAATTTCCTTCGAACCGTCTGAACTACATGAAGTGATAGTAAATTCCGCCCCCAAAACTGACGGGGTTGGGTCCTATCTCAGTTATTTGCAGATAAGAGCCCTACCCCAATAAAGTACCGCACTTTTGTCTAACATAACGTCGAAAAACTATAATATGCTAATTTTAGTTCGTTCACTCTGTCGCATATTGAACGAAAGTGATGTTTTTTTATATGAAAATGGTAGAGAAAATTGTCTACCATGCAAATTAGTTTTTACAAAGTTACTAGCTGTGACCCGCGAGTTCGTCTGGTTTTTAGACTAAAGTCACTCCGTTACACACCCAGACTAATACAAGCTATCATACTCATGAATACAAACGTTTGTACCGTGCGGGAAATGAACTCGAAATTATCAGAATTAAGGCGCTGTTAAACCGCTAGACTACTGAGACCGTCACCATTATTAATATGAAATAAAGTCGCGGTAGCTGTCTCTCCGTCCCTAGGAGGAGAGAAATCAAACCCGTCACCACCGAAAGTGAAGCGGTGTGTTAAACTACTAGACCACTGAGGCCGGACTTTTTAGGCTTTATAATCTGAGACTGTAATACTCCGTATTCACGATTTTTTTCTATATCTATATAATTATAGTGTCCACCAACATCTATACTTCATTATTATTATATAGTATAAAATAAAGTGGCTGTATGTCCGTCCCTATATATTCTTAAATCTTTAAAACTAAACAACGGATTTTGAAGCGGTTTTTAATAGATAGAGTGATTCAAGAGAAAGGTTTATATATATAATACATGTACACACGTGCGAAACCGGGGCGAGTAGCTAGTAAAATATATGAGAACTATTTACTGTGTTCGCTTGCAAATATATCATTAATTTATTAAATTTATTTATGGGACACAGTTACCTAGATATATCTAAATAATAATTGCATTTAATATTGTCTAGTAAGACAAATCCAATATTGTGTACTAAGCATACTGTGTTATGGATACTAGATAATCTGATACAAATACATAAATATATATTTCTTTTCGTAAATACATAGAAAACATTCAGAACGATAAAAAAAATCATACTCATGAATACAAATGTTTGTGCCGTGCGAGGAATCGAACCCGGGACCATAGGAAGTAAGGCGGATTGCTACACCGTTAAACCATCGAGGCCATCAGATGATGTCAATCTGTTATAATCAGTCTGTTATAAATCTGCCAGAAAAAAGATTTAAATGTCAAATAAAACAGTTCCTTTGCAAAAAAGCTTACTATAAAATTGAAGAATTCGTTAACGATAATAATGTTTTTATAGAAAAACTTTAAATCTATAGCACTGACAATATTATCTGATTACATTAATAATGAGTGCGTAGCGACTTCTATGTTGATTATCGCATGCCTCTTACTTGTTATACTGTAATTATTTATATAAAAAAAACATCTATTAAAAAGAGCAACATACAAGTTTCTTGCTCATTCTTCTTGTGATGAATCTGCATTCTGAATGAGTGGTAGAATCAAAATATGACTATTCAAAAGTGCTTGTAATGAGTTTATTTGAATAAAGATTATTTCTATTTCTATTTCTATTTCTATTTCTATTTCAGACGTTGGAAGATGAATATGGAACATCGCATTTAATTTTAAGAAGCATTGCCGCAAACCATGGTTTCTTGTACATATAATTATATTATATCTAGATATAGTAATCACCAACATCTATACTTCATCATTATTATTACATAGTATAAAATAATGTCGCCGTATGTCCGTTAAAGATTTAAGCATACATAGGGATGTATGCTTAAATCTTTAAAACTAAAAAAACTAAACAACGGATTCTGAATCGGACTTTAATAGATAGAGTGATTCAAGAGGAAGGTTTATATTTATAATACTAGTAATATATATAAGAACTATTTACTGTGTTCGCCTGCAAATAAATCATTAATTCATTATATTTACTTATGGGACGCAGTCACCTAGATACATCAAAATAATAATTGTATTTAATAATGTCTAGTAAGACAAATCCAATATTGTCTACTAGGCACTGCTGTCTAAACTGTGTCACCCCACCTTATATTTTCCTATTGTTATTTAGTATATAAGATCATTATTTGTATGTACATATTGTCAGTTTATTACCATCTGTAATATACATCGTCTCACCTCAACATGATATTATCCCGCACCATACTCATAGGATCGTCCAAGTATTACGTAAGCAGATTACTTGTTAGAATATTTTAATCTCTATCGTAAAGTAACCTACTCTGTACAACTTTTGTGTTCTCTGTTTTTTTATTATCTGTGATTATTTCTTTCACCTTGACCTTCTTCTGGTTTTTGTTTAGGCAATCAAAGATGTTTGACGTCTTTTGTTCAAATAAATTATTAAATAAGTACATAAGTATCTAATTGACGACCTCGGATGTCTGGCGGTCAAGCACACCGCTTTACGACCGATGATCGCTGGTTCGATTCCTCGCACGGCACAAACATTTGTATTCATGAGTATGATTGTTTGTATCGGTCTGGGTGTTTTCTATGTATAATATGTATGTGTTTACAAAAAATATATCTATGTATATGTATCAGATATCTAGTACCCATAACATAAGTTTAACTTGGGTCTAGATGGCTCTATATGAATTGTCCTGAAATTATGTAAAAAAATAAAAAATAAGTATCTAATTATTTCACAATTGTCAACAATGGTAGCAGAGCGTGGTTTAATCATTCACCCCCCTCCCCCCATTCCCCTTATCAGCAAAAGTAAGCAAAGCTCTTACCCCCTTGCCATTCGTGTAAAAAAGTAACTAACTCCCGATAACGTAATCATCATCTAGACTCCACTACCCCCATGTCATCCAAAATAAGAAAAATAAAGCCCCGCCCACCCCCACTCCCCCCATAGTGCTTACGTAATACTTGAACGGCCCCATATGAATATTACGTGACATAATCTATCGTCATGAAAATTTTCATTCAAATCCAGTCAGCAGTTCTGTCGTAAAAATGTACCAAACAAACAAACAGACTTTATCATTCACAATATTCATATCGAAGTAGGGACGGTACTCTACGACAGTATATCGAAACAGGTACGATAACAATGTAGCAGTTTAAATTAATATAAAGTTTAAACTCGTTAAACTACTGATGCGTATCTCGTTTATTGAATTCACTACACTGTGACGCGTGATTTAGTTCTAAATTACATAATTTAGTTTAAACAAAGTTCTAATCGCAGTTTTGATTAAATATCTCCAATATTAATATTGGAGGGTCTGTTTGTGTTTCAGACGAACCCCAATAACTGTATGTAAACCAGAAAACTATTTACAAATTATACTTAGCTACTCGCCCCGGCTTCGGACGGGTGTACATGTATTATATTATGTTTAATATATATATATATATATATATATATACATCCCAAGTTCGGCCGCACATGGAGTACTGCTCTCATCTTTGGGCAGGAGCACACGGATACCAGCTCGGTCCTTTTGACTCGGTTCAGAGACGTGCTATGAGAATTGTCGATGATCCCAATCTCTCAAACGGTATCGAACCACTTAG